TGAGTTTTGTTTTATCTGGTCTTAAATTTTAACCTTCCTCAATATTTCCATCCAGGGTGTGCCTCTTTTAGACAATGCAGAATTGGGTTTTCCTTTTTGACTCAGTCAAGAAAAAGGGCAGTCAGTAGGTTTTGCTGTTTACTGTGTCTTCCTGTAAGTCCTATCCGTTCTTTTCCTTTCCCCAGCTCTTAGACACATGAAAGGTACACATCTATTCATGGTTGGTTACAAAAAAAAAAAAGTTTGTTTCGCTATCAGATTCAAAAATGAAAGTTTCTCTTTACTTTATGTTGAGAAAATATTCTTGGTTTATTTTGAGGGGATAAGCCACAATACTAAAGATAAACAAACTGGCACAATTTTATTTTCTATATGCAACAGCAACCCAATGGGAATAATCTTGAATTTTAGACCCTATACCTTATTTTTCCAATCATTCAGATTGCACATTTTATAAGAATCAATATGTGCACTCTGCACTTAACTACAGTGATAACAAAATCCCAACTGTGTTTAAGTGACTTAATTCCACTAAGTCGTTTCCCTTCAACTTCTTTGTTCCTAGATTTACTACACAACAATCTTTTAATCCTGAAACCCAAAAAGCTCCCAAACCGACATTTCCCCCCCTAAATTTGGTGCCAAAAATAATTACCAGCCAACACCTGACCTGAACTCATATTAAATGAATATATTTAACTGAAAAGTGCTGATGTAGTAACTGGGCGTGTTAAGAAATATAGAATAAGTTTTCATATAAATACTCACATGCATGGTTACAAATCTTAGTCTTGCTTACCTTATTACCACTCTAAAACGTAAAATATTTTGAATTCAAAACACAGCCAGCATGTTAATGTACATGAAGATATTTCCTAGCAGTCTGCTGGGAGGGCCTAGACACAATGACAGCTGAGTAGCAATGAGCAACCACCACAAGGAGCACCCAGACCTTGGTTTCTAATACATTTTCCTAATAAAAGGAACAGCGCTCCTTGGGGGAGTGGCTGAATACTGGGCTGGAGCAGGGAAAACACAGATGGTGCCACGAAGTAGGGAAATGCTCCCCTAAAAAGCCAGGGTGCGTCAAAAGGGCACAAGATTCCAACCGAAAGAGTTCCCAGTGGCGAAAGCTGGAACAATCTGAACAGCAAAATAAATACTGGTAATACTGATTATAGTCCAACATTCCTTATAATAGCCTAAAGGATAACCACCTTTGAGTCCATACTGGTATAACTGAATAAATGAGGAAGAAGAGACAGCTTTTCTTTACAGAAGTTGTCTAATAAATGTACAAGAATAAGGGGGAAAAAAATCACCACTAGCACATCACAGTAACAAAATCTACCCTTAAGCACTGAATTGGTGGGAGGTTTAAGGAGAAACAGGGTATTTGTACAGAATGCAGGGGCAGATTAACCTTGCCCAAGGTCAAGTCTGGCCTTTGCCTCTGGCTCCTGAGAAGAAATCACAAGGTCCTTGGAAAGTCCTACCTGGCAAGCGTGTCTGTTTACCTGGGAGTTCTCAGCTACTCCACAGAGTCTAACAGTGTGACTTCCAGTGTAGGTCTTGGGTCACAGTGTCAGCTTGTCCTTCAGAGGGGCTGAAGACTAAGTCAGCCTCATGAACAAGCAGCCATCTGTGCAATCACAACTGATAAATGTCTGGACATGAAGGCCGAGGTGAGCTCCCCTGGTTGCCAATACTTCATGTATACTGTCACACAATGGGAGAAGTTAGCATTGTCTACAACTCCAAGGAGAGGCTGATGGGAAGCTTCACACTAGGAACCTCCCTGGAGCCTACCCTATGCCCCTCCTCTTCCCTTGGCTGACTTTATTCTATATCCTTTCACTCCAATAATCTATAACTGAGTTCTGAACCCTCCTAGAGAATTAGTGAACCTAAGAGTGGTCTCAGAGACCCTCGAACTTTTGTAGCTGGTGTCAGAAGACAGGGTCATCTTGCAGATCCCTGAGATTTGCACACCACCCCAAAGTATCTACCTCAAAAAAAATATTTATTCACTGTAAAAGGAAAAACAGGAACTTCATGATGGAGAAATCTGGCAGACAACGCCTTAACCCAGTGATAATGGTTAACATCACCTGTAATATGTTTATTGCATGGACCCCAATAAGACGCAATGAGATGGGTACCTCACTTCTGGCTCCAAAAAAATCCATCACCTCAGCCTAATCAAAAAAGCATCAGATAGGCCCAAGCAGAGTAAAGGACCAGCACTCTGCAAATGTATCATGAAGGGCCAGGAAGGCTGAGGACCAGACCCAGACAGTAGGAGACTAAGGAGTTGTGACAACCAAGTGCAGCCTGGGGCCCCAGACAGGATCAGCAAAAGGACACCAGTGGGGAGTGCTGGTCAAATCCAGATAAAGTCTGCAGTCCACTCCCTAGGACTGCGGCGGTAATCACTCCTTAGCTTGGGTAAACACGCTATGACTGTGGGAGATGGTAATATGAGGGGAGATTGGGTGAAGGGTTCTACAGCTGGAAAACATGAACAAGTAACAATATTCACAGAGTATGGCCAACTAGGGAATCATTTTTTCCGCAAGTCTGAAAAAGTCTGAAATTCTAGTAAAATAAAATGGCATGGCGGGGGGGGGGGGGGCGGAATAGAGTTGGCCCCAAAGATTCTGGAAAAGGGATTATTCCTCTATCTCTTGGCTGATGACAAGACTTCAAGAGGGCTTTTCAAGAAAGATATGTGGGGGGCAAAGATGTAAGTCTTCATAAATACAAGAAAATACTTCTACTACATACACATTTGGAGGCTGGAGATGTGGCAGTTTCCAGATTTCTATTTCCTCTTAAAAGCCTATAAAATGTTTAAATCAATGAGTGTATAAAAAATACTCTGACCACCACTGGAGGATGCAAAGAAACCAGTTCATTATTTTGAAAACTGATAAAGAAAAAGATTCAGACATTTATCCTGACATTCCAGTATGACTGTACTTGAAGGTAAAGATAGATGAGAAGCTGCTCTTTACAGAAATAGTCTAGCTAGTAATGAGAAATATCCTTCTGCAAACCCTCAGGAATTAATAAATCCAGTCACTGGTCATCAATGGCTGCTAACAACACAGGACAGACTGACCACCAGATGTCTGGGACCTCTGGAAGAGCACCCCACCACTGGCAAATGACTTTTGTCAACCCGACAGCTGACCCACCAGATCAAAGTTCAATCAGATCAAGCCGCTAAATGTAACTACTGATTTACAGGGAGCACAGAAGACAGAGGAACCTGTTAAACTACAGCACAGCAATGAAATCGGGCAAATCTAGACTGGCCAACTCGACAGGACAAGCCACCCAGTTTCTTCCACAAATACATGGGAGAGAAATGGAGGGACAGATCTATACGTGTTAAAGATAATTAAGAAACATATCAACCAAGAGTTGTTCCAAGAGGAACTTACTTGGATTCTGATTTAAGCAGAGAGTTATAAGAAACATTTACAGCATTTGAGACAACTGAAAATTATAACACTTGCTAGATATTAAGGAAATACTTATTTTTTAAAGAAGTGATAATAGCATATGACTATGTTTTTTAAGCGACCTTATTAAAAGATAATGCTGAAATATTTCTAAGAACAATTAAAAATAAATAAAACCACCTCTACAGAGGCCACCCCAAAGCAATGCAATCAATGTGACATGTACTATATACCTATATACCTGAATGCTCAGTGTTCTTCCTTCAAATGGAGATTATCCTATCAGGTTAAAGGCATCTGGCTTCCTTCACAGACTTTGCCTAGTCTGTGCTGAATTCTTTCACTCTACATACCTCCTCTCCCCCCAACACACACCTTCTTTTATTATCTCTACAAGTGCCATCTGGACACTTTCTGAACTGCCCTGAACCCTTCTCGCGTCACAGTGAACATGAGCATGAACGACATCCGTTATAGGGCAATATCTGCTTTACAAAAACTGATTAACAGAAAAGAGGGAGTTAAAGAAGCCATGATATTAAGAACAGAAAGACATAAAACTGTACTGCTAACCCTACATTGCGTTGTACAATTCATTGTACATTTTCTCTGATTATAGAAATCACTATTTTTTTTTAAAAAACATTTATTATTTCAGAGAGAGCATGTGAGAGTGAGCACACACATGCGTGTGGGAGGAGGGGCAGAAGGAGAGGAAGAGAGAGAGTATCTCCAGCAGACTCCCTGCTGAGCGCACTGCCTGACTCAGGGCTCGATCCCGCCACCCGTGAGTTCATGAACTGAGCTGAAACCAAGAGTTGGACACTTAACCAACTGAGTCACCCAGGCACCCTACCCTTTGATACTACTATTCAAACAAATTTTAGATAAAGAGACATATGAAATATGCAGAAAATGGTATTAGAAGAAATCACCATTACCTTTACAAAAGGATTACCACAGTCTCTTTAAGCACTGCATCCCTCTATTCCACTTTCTGGATGGACGGACAGATAGGTACACGAGGCCACATACTAGGTCTGGTTTGGTCCAATGAGTGTTTTTTAAAAATTCCAAAAAAATTGCTGACATTTTAAAATGACAAGATTTCAACAGAACTCAGAACTGGATATCCACAATGCCATGTGCCACCCATGTCCCCAGGCTCTTCCTAATGCCAAGGTCAGGGGCCAGTGGCCAGTTAGCATCAGGTTCGCACCTCTGCTCTTCTGACACCTGGCCAATCTGTTCTTTGTCCTAGCAGCCTGCTAGGCAGCAGACATTGAAGTCTGTGTCCACTAACTTTTGCACAGCTGTTTTTAGATAAATAAAACATGTTCATACTGATGCTGGAAATTTTGCTGGTAATTTTTTCTTAAGTTCACATAAAATAAGGAGTTGATAAAGGGCATTTTGAACATAAAAGTAACACAAAGAACATAGAAACACCTATTCTGCGTGTTTCTTCTGTCCTTAATTAAGGCCCAGGGTGACTCAGATCCCTCAATCCCCCAGCACACACAGCCTCACCTGCGTTGCTCCCAGTTCCTTTCTGCTTTTTTTTCTTGGCTAGTTGAATGGCTCGGGAATCAGTTCTTGCTGAGCCCCCACTTTCCTGAGACCAAAGAAAAGTGTGTCAGTCACTCGTTCCAAATAGTAAAGGAAGGGTAGCAAGGGAACTACGGAAATGTACTAAGTCTGCCTCCTGAACAGAGTAGATAGAGTCCAATAATCTTTGAGGATCTCCAGCAAAGGTTCACGGAGAATCAAATGTTACATCCAATTATAGTGACAACTAAACAGAATGAGAGTTGGAACAATATACATAATTTTATTATCCAGAGAAGCAAAGTTTATTCCTCCAAAGTCTAAAACATATTAAAATACTTTACACAGAAACTGTTATAAAAGGAGTTACATACTTCTCTGCTGTCTGAAACAACCAGCCTTCCCTTGGTGGTTCAGGATTAATTAACTGCAGCACTTCTCAACATTCTCCAGAACATGCCACACAACACTTGTACGGCAGACCCAGGGAGGTCCTATTTCATATACCCACTACAGAGGCCGCTCTGGTGGCAGGTGCTGGACTCAAAAGTTATATACACCAAAACAAGAACTACATTACTGAATTCAGAAAGGTTACGGAGGGAGCCAAACAGTCCCATTCAAATGGGACTTCACTTCTGTAAATTTGTGAACGTTTGATGAGAAAAACAGCTTAATGCTTACCACTACAAAAAGAAAAAGAACATCCCTCAACAGCTTGTGGCATACCTGTAACCCATTCACCACACACCATCTGTGCTCAGAGAATCGAGGCAGCCCAACGTCACACAGCTAGCGAGAAAATGAACAAGGAGTCAGGATCAAGGTCATGGCGGCTCGTCCTGCCTCCACCCACAGTTATGGCTCTGGAGATGCAGTGGCACCAAGGAACTATGGTTTCCCAAGGCACCAAGGCCCTCCACACAGGCCCTGCCTCCCCACTGACCTCTGAGCCTCGGCCATCTCCCCCTCTGGCCACCTAAGCAAAGGCTGCCAAGTATGGCTATGCCACTGACAAGTGGGAGCCATCAGAAAAGGTACGACAGACTGTGCTTCTCTCAGACTGAAAGGCTCATGGTAGATGGGTTACCACATCCCTCACAACTGATTCAAATTCAAAGGATTTAACTTTAAAAAAAAAAAAACTGTGGTAAAATAAGATTTAACATTTTGAACAATATAAATATCACCATCAAATTTAACCTGTGCCACAAAGAAAAAACCTATTTGATCATTCCCATCTGAGACTGAGGAAATAATCAGACTCTCCCCCAAGAATCTTTAATTAAATAATTTTAAATTAAATTATATTAAATGTATTAACTGACATAAATATAATTAAAGTATATTAACTGTCGAGCCTCAAAATTGGAGAAGTACTCTTATAACCCTCCAGAAAGAAAAGCTCACAAACCGCATGGTTTTAAAGTTTCCATTAAACCTGATGTCACGATTCCTCTTCCTCTGGCCATTACTAAGTCTAAGGACCTGTTATTCCGTGAAAAGCACAAAGGCAGAACATCTCAACATTATGAAATACGCCCCCCCCCTTTTTTTTTTCAAGAAAAGAAACATATCATCACAGAATCACAGAACTCAAAAGGACCTTAGAAATCATCTAGCCAAACCCCCTCATTTTAGAAATAAATGAGAACTTAAGGCTCAGACAGGATAAGTGATTTCCTCAAGGTCGTAAAACCTAGTCAGTTCCAGACTCAAGATCAGAATTCAGATTTCCAGACTTGTAGTCCAGGGCTCCATCTTTTCGCAAACCAGTAAGAAATGTCTGCACATGAACGATTAATCCAGAACATCCTCAAAACCGAGTGTAAGAGAAGCGAGTTACGCGGTGGTGACTGAATAGAGCACTTCATACCAAATAAAAGTTGCCGGTCCCCGCACTGAGCCCCGTGTCTTTCTGAGGACTGTGCTTTTCCGCAGGGCTGCAGAACACCGACCTGGGCACCCCTCGGCTCCGGTCTTGCTGCCTCACGGTGTCGGGGCCAGGAGGCGAGTCTGGTTCCACTTTGATTGGAGCCAGCAATTCCGGGCCACCGGTGTTTCCAGGTGGGGGGCTCGGAGAGGTCAGTGTGGTGGTGTTGTCTGCTAAATGACCACCCGAGGTCAAAGCCTGTGGATCCGGACTCAAGTTCTTGACAGGCAGAGCTACCAGACAGCCTAATGCTCCTGCGCTTACAGTCGGCACGTCGTCCACACTGAAGCTGCTCTGCTGAAGAACTGTGGCTGCAGTGCCAAGAACAAGAGGGCTATCCAGGCTTGGAGGGATGTCACTGTGGGCCACCAACACCAGCGGGTCCATGGGCCCCAAGGAACTATTATTAGCAGGAAGGTTCCCTCCGAGTGAAGCACTCACAGAAGTAACATCAATAGTCAGGATTCCAGAGTTCAGCGCCTCATCTGAGGCCCCCGCCGCACTACCACCATCACCGGGTGCATCAGAGAAGAGCGCTGCCAGGTCTATGTTGTTGAGCTCACTTTGGCCTGGGCTGCCAAGCTCACTGCTGTGCGTAAGAGAACTCGGAGCTCCAAGCTGAGGGAAGAGATCTGAAAGAGAAATGAACACTCCAGTTGTTTTATGCACTTTAGCAGACTCGGAAGTTTTGTTTGTGCTGAGACATTATGTAGCAAGCAACCCTTCAAGGTAACATCAACATCTACTCCTCCTGCCCCTGCTGCCTGGTGCATCAAAGGTGGCCACACACTGAAGAAAGGCATTGCTTGATAACCTATCAGGCATTCTACAGACACTATTACAAATCCTTGAGCTCACAGGGATTTCTCCAGATAGGAAATGACCTGAGAGTCTAAATAACATTTCCTAAAGTCACATCAGCTGGTAATAGAAAGAGGCAAGACTTAAATCCATGTCTTTCTGGCTTCAAACCCTATGCCCTTTCTGCTACACAACAAGAACTGCACTCGGAAGCCCGTAAAACCTTCCACAGAACGCAAGTCTTCAGAAGTCAGACACAAGCTGAACTCTGGCTCTGGGATATTTTTGGAATCGGCTGGTGTCAGCTCATGTCTCATCAAAATCTATGCCCCACTTCACAACTAGCTGCCATTCCAAAACAAATTTGAGTCATCTGGGGATGATCAGTGGGGGAAAAAAAAAAACTGTCCTGTCTGGCATGCTCTGGGATCAAGGCCCTGGCTCAAGGTCCCAACCCTAGGACTACAGAGAACTAAGACCATCAGGCCCCAGGCACTCTGGAGCTATGTCCCCTCCATGGAGCTTCTCCTGATGGGCTCCCCCAACCACTATATTTGCAACCTCCAACACTCCTTCCTCCCCCTAGGCCATGATCATCCTGAGGGTAGGGAGTCTATCTGACCCACAATGTCCCTTCAGCACCAGGCACCAGCGCCTGGCCCCTAAGCAGCACTTAATGATTATAGCAAAAATAATTTAGTAAATCCCTCTTTAGTCTTAATTGTTCATTCAGCCTCAGTTGTTCCCATCACTCTTCTAATATTTGATTCTCTGTTATTCAATTAAGTAACGTGAACAGACTACCCTTGAAGGAATAATGAGCATTAACATACTTTTACAAAATTTCATTGAGGGGTGCCAGCCTCAGTTGGTGGAGCACATGACTCTTGATCTCGGTTGGGGTTGTGAGTTCGAGCCCACGTTAGGTGTAGAAATTACTTAAAAATAAAATGTTAAAAAATTTCAATGAATATTCAAGTCAGAGATTTATACACCAGTACACCCAATCAATCATCCCAAATCCTAGGACTCTTAAAGCACCAAGTAAACAGGAAGATGAGAATACAAAGTATTTGGGTAAGGGAGCCAAACAAGGCCCTGAAGTTAATCCTTCCCAAGAAATTTGTAGCTGAAGCTTCTAGAAAATGCCAGTGCCCGGCCAGAGGGAAAAGGCTCTCTCAGTTCTCTGGCTCTATTCCTTCTACACCAACTGTTAGCTAATCCCAAACTCATACTTTCCAGTGGTGGACACCAGCTCAGAGTGCCTGTTAATAGTTCTAATGCAAACCTATGAAAGAAATCCACTACAGACCCTCCCAAAATAAATTAATAACCAAATCCCAAATATTATCTTCTTTAGCTGTCAAACTACTTTGAAATTTAAAAATAGTATCGATATATTATTGCTTCTTCACTAAGTATCTGAGAACCAATAAAACAACTTAAAAAAATGGCAGAGATTCAGAAATTAAGAATGGAAAAGTGTCTCTTTTACAAAACCTTCCAAAAATTCCTTTGACTATCTTGAGAATTTCATAGGGATAAAAAATTAATAATAATCTCGGTGTGGATACCAATTTGTTCACAAATTTCCTATTTAGTGCTGAAATCACAGATATTTACTGGACACCTGCTATTGTCGAGATATTCAGAAATCATTAAATGTTAATTAATAGAGCATCTAGACCAAGGTTACAATCGTGACCTCGCTCCAGCACTTCTCAGTGTATGGGACCTCAGACAAATCCCTCTCCTTTCCACCTCAGCTTCATCAAAAACAGAGCAGTGAACATGCCCCTGCCCCAGGACCACCGTGAGGGGACTCCAACAGCCAATCCAGGGCCTGGCAGAGCCCCTGGCAGCGTCAGTCCACAACAATGCAGGTCCCCAAGCACCCGTTTCTCACGAGGCTAGCGCTGGGACACTATATTAGTTATCCACCTCTGACCACAAGCAGGGGAGAATTGACACACAAGTCAGTCAATGGCACATTATAAACTCAGGGCCTGGGAAACACAGGCACTACAGAGCCCCTAAGAGGCTCTCACATGGAGACAGAGTCTAAGGAAACTCCTGTGGAATGAATGATGCTGTCGCTGACTTCTGAATGAGCCAAGCCAGAAAAGGAAGAAGAGCAAAGAGGCCCAGGTGCACGGTATCCCACAGTGCCAGCTCAGAGCCAGGAGTGGTGAGGGCTAAGTTCTAGAGACAGAAGTAGCAACCCGACCCCTGATGGCCTCTCAACACCAGCCTACAGCTCTTGACTGGACTCTGTGAGTTGAGGGGACAGCCTCTCACAGGAGTCCTCATAACATCTAGAGTTCAGAAGGGCAGCTTCTTAAATCCCAGCGAAATGGCAATTACGTTAGAGCCAAAGGAGTGAGGTGACCACATCTATAACAAGGTGGGAAGAAGCCAGAGGAAGGACATTTCCTTCAGAAAACTACACAAATTCTACTCCGTGTTTTAGTGTTTTTTTTATTTTTATTTTTTTTATAAATGTTAGCCATTATTATTTTTTTTTTAAAGATTTTATTTATTTATTTGACAGAGAGATAAGAGAGAGAGCACAGATAGAGTGGCAGGCAGAGGGAGAGGGAGAAGCAGGCTCTCCGCTGAGCAGTGAGCCGGATTCGGGGCTTGATCCCAGCACCCTGGGATCATGACCTGAGCTGAAGGCAGACGCTTAACCGACTGAGCCACTCAGGCGCCCCTCTAATCCGTGTTTTAAAGATGAGGAAACCGAGGGACGCCTGGGTGGCTCAGCTGGTTAAGCGACTGCCTTTGGCTCAGGTCATGATCCTGGAGTCCCGGGATCAAGTCCCACATCGGGCTCCCTGCTTGGCGGGGAGTCCACTTCTCCCTCTGACCCTCCCCCCTCGCGTGCGTTCTCTCTCATTCTCTCTCTCAAATTAAAAAAAAAAAAAAAAAAAAAAGATGAGGAAACCGAAGCTTGAGGACCTGTGCGTCGCCTGGAACCCCCCACCGGGAAGTAGCTGTGCCCCCAGGGCTGGTGCTGCCTATCACCCAGGTGGCAGGGAGGCAGCATGCTCAAGTGACCGTAAGGCTAGCAAGGACTTCCCCGGCCAGGAGCAACCCCACAGCACCCCAGACAGCAGGGTGGTGTGAGCTCCAAGGCAGAGGCACCACAGAGCCACCCAGACCCCTCAACAGTCTACCCATAGGGCTGTGCGTGCAGTCTCGAGAGGCAGACCGTCAGTCCTTTGCCACCATGCAGCCAGATGACCAGGCCTTCACGTGCCCAGAATCCCCGCTCCAGACTACGGCTGTGGTTCCCTCACCCCCTTCCCCTACCCAGGCCCTCAAGCCCCGCCCCCGCTCACAAGGTGAAACACTGCTCTGCACAACCGGACAGAGAGAGGAGTGAAGACAGAAACAAGGGAGGGGCAGGCTCAGAATTCAGGACAAAGGTCACAGAGGGAGACAGACCTGGGAGACATATGCTAGGAAAAGCCAAGTAAAACACTAAAAATAAATAAGTAAACAAACAAATAACTGAATGCTCCTCAAGGGAAGCACTTCAGAGACAAGGGAGGAATTAAGGGTCAGAGGCAAGAAGTGGCAGAAGAGTCCAAAAGATGCCACTAGGCTTGGCAGCCATGGTCCATGGGCCAGTAAGACTTCACTGTGCTCAATTAATTTAACCTATAACCAGACAACTTCTGAAGAGGGCAGAGAAAGGAAGGACATGCTTTGGCTTCTCTGACACATGTCAAGCGTACACATCTTTGCAGTGTCCTAAGAGAGAAGTGAACCGAGCAGACCTGGGCGCCGGCTATGCTGTCGGACCACATGCGCCTTCATGCTGTGCTTGGAGGTGAAGAGTCTGTTACAGCTGGACACCGGGCAACGGCTTTTCGGAGCACCCACGTCCTGCAGGTGTTTCTTGGAGTGAATGTAGAGGCTGCTACGGGCAGAGAACCTGGCACAGCACCCTGGAACAAAAAGACCGATGAGTGGTAAACCTGAGGATTCCCAAGAACCCAGTGCTGACATTTCCTCCCATTGGAATCATAAGACAATGCATGCCCATGCTCCGGCCACTGGCCAGGGACAGATACAATACGCCTTAGGGCAGCATCACAAATGTAGGGGCCAAGGCAGGCTGCCCCCAAGGCAGGCCTTTCTGGCAGGCAGATTATGCCAGCTGGAAACAATCAAGGCCCAAAAGACTCGGGAATAAACTTTGACATCCCTCTGCCTACTGTCTAAAAGAATTTAGATGGAGGACATGCTCCAGGAAAAAAGCTACCACCACAGATAACTACATTATGATACAAACTAGGTATGGCGGACGGGGAGGACCTAGCAAGGCCTGTTTGATCAAAGTCTGCTCTGTGTCCCATTGTTTCTGTGGGCCAGCAAACACTTGTTCACCAAACATTTACTTGTTTTCATTTTCCTATGAGATGCTTTCCTTCCCTCTGAAAGTCCCAGGTCCCTACCCACCCTTCTCTTTAGCTCAGGATGACATATATACTTCATTTTACCTGTCTCTGGAATCTCATGTCTGTGTGGCTTTTCCATACATATGAAATTAAATTTTATTTTCTCTTAATCTGTCTCACGTCAATTTAATTTAGTCCAGCTAGAACAACCTTGAAGGGCAGAAAAAAATTCTTCCTCCCTGACACAAGGAAATAAATTTGAAAGCAAACTGCATTTAAAAGGACACAGCAAGTTCCCCATCAGTTGTGTAGAAGACACATAACCTTGACAAGTTAACTCTGGGCCTGTTTCTTCACCCACTACACAGGGTTGCTGGGAAAACTAAGTCAAATTCAGTGTTAAACAGCCCCTTAAAAGTTCAATTGCTAAAAATTTGTACCAATTATCTGTACTTAGCTACTACTATAAAAACTGGAACCCTATGACATTTAGAGTTGGAAACTCTCTCAACAGATCACCAAAACCAATTCCTCTCATTTTACTACTGAGAAACTGAGGCCCAAAAGAACCAAGCAAATGACCCTAAATCAAGAGCACAAGTGAAGCCTGGAGGTGGCACCACCTTGCTGACAACTCAACGGCTTAGCCAGAGTCAGTAAGATCACAGACCTGCACGTATGTGTCAGGTGGGAAAACAAGACAAATTAAAAAATACCACCACCTTCCTCTTGGCCTAACCTCCCACTGCTGAAACTCAGCACCACAGGGACACACAGAGGGGAAGCACGGTTCTAGGCAGCTACAAGCTTGTGACTTGGTAGGGATGTGTAAACAATCAGCTGTCCTAACAAAGGGCAAAATAAAACCAGTGCTAGTGCCATGGAGTGTTCTAGAAGCAGAGGAAACAGTGTACCTCTTGAGAGGAGAGAAAAAAGATTTCAAGAGGTGGGTAGCATTTGAGGTGACTGGGTCTTGACAAATGGTAGGGGCCACAGAGCAGAGCAGGAGGGTGTGCAGGCCGAGGCACTGCCATCCAAGGCGTGGAGGCCACGAAGCAGGGTGGGCAGAGCTTGGACTCTGGAGCCCAACTCTAGCTCAGACCCTACTGGCCATGTGCCTTATTTATTCTTTCCGGGTCTCCTTTTCCTTTTCTGTAAAGTGGGAATGACACCCGCCTCACAGGGGTTATGAAGACTACACGTAAACTATCCCAACCTACAGAGTGCTCGCACAGTGTCCACTGAAGTGGAGCGAACATCACGGCACTTGTGGCAGCTTCTTGGGATGGCGAGGTGGAGCTGCTGGAGTCTAGGGCCTGGGGGGAGGCCTATTTTAGGAAAAGAGGCTATGAAGACAGAATATGGCCAGATGACTAAGGGTTTTGGCTGCCTCAGAGGAGTTGTGAACTTATTTCATTTTCAAACAAAGCTTCCAGCTTGTTTCCAGGTCAGGCTCATGAGAGAACATTTGGAAAACACACGAGAACAGACGCCTCCAGGCTCACCCCCAGGTGCACTGTCTGCAATGTGTGCTTTGCTCCACATGGTGCCCAGGGGTACTCTGTACCTGCCATGTCCCTCGGCCCCCTTTCCAGGTGGGACTCCTCCACACAGACTTAACTGCTTTGCCGAGGACAGGGGTCAACCACAACAGGGATGTCTGCCACACTCGTCAGCAGTGATTTCCATTTTAAAAAATACTTGCTAACTCGACAGAGAACAAAATATTCTTCATTTTCATTTGTACATCCTTTGATGGCCAGCAATGTGACCATTTTTCCACGTGTGTTAATGGCTGTCTTTTCCTAACTGCAACAGTATCTACACCGAGATTTGTATCCATTCTTAACAAATCAAAACTATTAATACTAGCACCCCACATTTATACCAAGTTACCCCCACCCAGAGGAGGGGCAGAAGCAGCCCATCAATGACAAACACCATGGGAATCTCAACTCCCATCTACCACTTACAGGAGGACCACACACATCTTCCAACCTCTACTCTGTATGCCTTGACTCTGTATACACTGCCACGGCGTATGAGAGGTGAGGCCGCTGCGGCCACCACCATACACACACATACACACACACGCACACGTGCGCGCGTGCCATCCTCACTTGACCACCCTGCCCTCCCCCATACACACTCACCGCTGTGTGGCCCTACCCTCCCTGTCTCCTCCAATTACTATGAAAAGATGGGTGGTGACGATTCTTTGATTTTTTTGTTGTTTTTAACTTTTTATTATGAAACATTTCAAACATTACAAAAGCAGAAAAAATGGTCTAGTCACCCATATTCAAGAATTATCAACTCTCATTAAAAAAAAAAAAAAAAGAATCATCAACTCTCAGCTCACCCAAAAAAGGGTCCTAGGATCCTCTCCCGAGGCTCCTGCCCTCACCTCCACTCGCTGGAGAAGCGCGCTCTTCAACCAAGCACCACTGGTCACCCCATCTGCACCTGCCTCTACCAGCTCGACATGCTCAAAGTTCTCAAGCTTCCAGTTACTGCAAGGCAGAAACCACCCCTCCTCTGTAGCCAGCTACCACCCCCTTCCTCTTTCCCTCCCTCACAAGCCACCTCCTGCCTTACCCTACCCCACCACTCAAGGCACTAGAGCAGGGCTCTGCCTGAGCTACTCCACCGAACCTTGACCCTCACCCTACAAGACCTCACTGACCCTGCTGGAGGAGCCCATGGTCCTCACCAAACTGCCGCCCCTCAGCACTCAGGACGGACCCTCTCCTTTCCCAGACATCCTCCTCTCTTGGCTTCAGTGCTACCAAGGCTACAGTCTTCCCATTCCTTCTTAGGCCCCTGCCAGGGCACCCCTTCTACTTTTCCACCTGAGTTTGTGGCTGTCCCCAGGGTTTTTGTCCTAGGCCTTTTTGGTTTAATAGCAATGGTAACAATGGCTACTGCCATAATAGGGCCCTTTCAAAACAACCCTGTGTTACGACCACTTCAAAGATGGGGAAAAGAGGCAGAGAGTGCTTGAGCCACTTGTCAGAGGCTACAGAGCGACTTAAGCGGCAGGCTTGGGATTGGGGTCCAGGAAGCCTCAGGCCTTCAATCACCACACTCCTCCGCCCCTCTTCAGCGTACACCAATCCCTGAGCGCTGCATCCACTTCCGTGGCTTAGATCATCACCATGTGCTGCCTGCCTCACTCCCAGCCCACCTCCTCACCAACCCCAGCAAGCAGTACATCCCTGCCTCCTGAGCATCTGAACTTGGAAAGCCTGTGGGCACCTAAAATGCAGCACATTCTCTTCCTCCAACCACCAGCCCTGTGTGCCTACCTCAAGTGAGATGCTGGATCCAACTACTGCTTCACCCAAAACCCCTACTCCCAAATCTATCACCAAGCACTGCTGGTGCACTGTCTAACTCCTATCTCTCTCATCTGTGCCCTCTCTCCCTTCCCACTGCCAAGCCCCAGTGCAGGTGCCAATCATCTCCCCAGGAAACCAGACTGAGCCTAAAAACTCAATCATGGTCCCATCACTCCCCTGCCCTGAGCACCCAGCCTGCTGCTCTCACCATTCTGGGAGATGCCCCTACACTGGCCTCGCCTGCCTCCTCTACCCCTGGATAGCTCTGCCTCCTTCTTCAGCCAGCTGGGAGACGACTCCCACGCCCCCATGCTCTAGGAGCAGTCTGGGTGACCTGTGTGTCCCCACAGCACCCTACAGGTACTGATCTACCTGGTGTGCCCCAACTGGAGCTCTGATGACAGGAGGAACTGTGTCTTGGTTAAACCATCTGTATTATCTTCATGACATTCTAGGAACCGGTCTTGGCTTCAAATTGGTCTTTATTATCCCTTTTCCAGATAAGGAAACTGAGGCCCAGAGAAGGTGGCCTGAGATCATCACCTGAGGGAGGGGGGAGCCAGGAATGAGACTCACAAGCACACACTGACCTGCTCTGCCCTCCCACACACCTGCAGCACTTACAGTAGGCCAGCACACACGAGCCACGAGCACACTTCTGCCCATGAATCATGCCTTCGCTATGTAGAGAAAAAACATCTGAATGCCCTTTTTAAAAAGCTAGCCTAACTTAACTGCTGTCCAATCACAGCATGCACAGCTAACATTTACTGAATCCATGATAGGTGCCAGATGCCAAAACAGGCATTTTTCACAGCTTATTTCACCTACTCCTCACAACCACCACATTAAACAGGTAGTAACTAGAGCCACAGATCTGGCGAGTGCACTTCAGAGCCAAGAGTCAAACCAGGTCTGATCCTAAAGTCTGTTCTTTTCAATACACTGCTCCCAAGATAAAACAATTAACTAAAACCGGCCAATTAAATCTAATGCTGCAACTTACACTCACCTTGTCTTGAAGCAAATAAAACTTACCTTTAAACAACTTAAACTTACAACAACATGGACACATACTAGTTTACAGCTCAAAGTAATATATTAAAATCTACCTTCCACGGGACACTCGAATGGCTTTGTGCCCAGGTGGGTGATGCTATGGCCTTTCAGGTGCTCTGCTCTCGTGAATGACTTCCCACAGCCTTCAACAGGGCAGGTAAACCTCCGGTCGTCATCATGTTTCCTGCCAGAAGAGAAAAACAGGGAACAGTGATTATTCACACAACCCAGAGATACCAGACCTCGGAGGTGATTCTTTGTTTAAAATTCTGCAAATTACAAACTCTTAGCATTTAAAGAAAATGATCAGTACATTTCAGAAAATCTTAATTCTCTCTAACCCATGTGGACAGGTTTGCAATTTAGCTAACCCTGTAATTAGAAATTCTACTTTAATGACAAGGCTGACTTGAGACTCAGACACATCAATTAGTGCTGCTTCAATCTAGGAACACACAGCTGGGTCCCAAACGTATTGATGAAGCTACTTTCAATGTTTAGAAATTCTGGTAACAAACAAGGTTTCCAAGCTGCAGAGGGCAAAGAGAAACATGCACAGAAAATCAACTGCAATGCTAAAAGGACCCACTCAAGTCCCTGCGTAAACACAGTTCTTTCCTAAGTACCACTGTTATACTTAAAACCTCTCAAATCCCCAGCTGTGCAAGCATGGACAAACCACCCAACCCTTCTGTGTCCCAATGCAAACCAGGAAAAGTAAGAACATCAAAGGCAGAGTCATTGTGAAGGTTAAAGGAGACACATATGTAAAGTGCTGAACATCACCTGCACACAAGCAAAGCCCTCCAAGGACATCGTTATCAGCATGGAAATTTTCTAATGACATCATGAAAGCTTCTTCCACAATGTTAACTTTTTTAAAATATTGAACTGTATATGAAATATGCAAATTACATTTAAAAACAAGTATACCTAGAAAAACTGACATTAGGTGATCAGATTCTGAGTGGTTTTCTTTTACAGCTTTCTGAACTTTCCAAACTATCTATAATGGGCTCCCTTTCTTATAACTTAAAAAAATCAACAGGTATTTAATCCATAGGCTTCTGCTACTGACAAACAACTCATTCATTTCCTATACGGCTAATTCAACCAAAATGTAAAGATTACCTTTTGTGTCGTAGGAGTTTAGACATGCTGGTGAAGGTCCAGCCACAACTGTCAGAGTCACAAATAAAAGGTCTTTCACCTTAGAAAAAGAAAAAAATTACACCACATAATCATAAATGCAAGCTAATCATAAAAGACAAATCTTAGGTGCAAATGCTCTATTCTCTAGCTCATTACCTGTATGACTTCTCAGGTGAATTTTCAGGCGACAGGCTTTGTCATATTGTTTGCTACACCCAGGAAAGGAGCAAGAAAAGAGTTCTTGTTCCCTGAAGTGAGCTCGGTTATGGGAAAACAGAGCACTCACTGTGATGAATGTCTTCTCGCAGCCTGAACAAAGAAAACACAAACCCTGCTCACTGGTGTGACAAAAATCACATAACATAGCTAAACTAGTCACCCCTCCAGGACACTATTCACACTGAAGCAAACAAGAAAGAAAATGAGTCAGAAGCACCTCCAGAAAGTTACAACCACCGTTACAACCATTATTGTAATAGTGGCTAAGGGCAGCCAATAAGCACACGCAGGTCACCTGCTGTGATACGACTTAGATAGGAAGCGAATGTTCAAGGGAAAGTCCTCCAATCACAGCCATGTGCTCTCCGTTTCCACAGCACAGATCTTTCTTACATTTTGTGAACTCAAATGTCAATGCTGTCTGTGTGAGACCAACGAAAATCCAACAAGATATTAGATACTAAGGAACAAGGATTCTGTCTGGGAGGGCCGAACTTGGAAGGGCCATAAACCATTGTTCTATCCGAGACTTTGCCCCTCCACGTGATACTGTGTTCTCCAAAATTACAAATGTCCTCCCTGACATCCTCTGCAGCAGCCCCCGCTGTTACCTCGCTTCTCCTTTTCCTTTTGCTTATTTCACCAGGGTTCCCTGCTGTGAAAGGAGGCTACCAGGGTCGTCTTCATTCACATGGCCTTTTCCTTCATTCCCATCTTCAACCCCAGTTGAGCCACCAGAAAAGAGCCTACCTCAGCAATCCCCAGACTTTCCACATTAATAGGTCTCCTTTAACAAAAAGATTCAGTGCTTAGAGTAGAAAATACCAGGTTGCAACATGCTGACCAGGTATCTTTGTGGCAGCTCTTCCCAGAGTCTGTAACATGCTACCATCGTGCCTATACACCACCCGGCAGATACACACTGCACATCAAAGCACTAGCCCCAGGAACCCTACTTACCCTTGCAACACTCAACTGGGAGATGCTCCTCTTCCTAAATGTCCGAAAATCATCCTCTTCCTCCTCTTTGGCATAAAACTGCCCTCCCTTCCCACCCCCTCATTCCCTATTTTGGGCTTTGGTGTATTCACACACTCCAACAGGTAAATCGCTCTGCCTTAGCAAGAACCACCCTCCCTGCAATCAACAGTCAAGCCTTTTGATCCTGCCTCTGCAATCTTTCCTACGTGGAACCCCCTCACCATTCCCACTGCCTCAGCAAACTCAGGTCTAGAACATTTAATGGGGCTTCTTCACTGGTCCCTCTCCTGAACCCACCCATCCTGAACACTACTGATCATCCAACCCAAAACTCCCTGATCTTCCTAGTACTATACTTGGAATAATGCTCTTTGTGCATTTTACTAGGGAGCAGTCTATAAGCCAGATTCATAGAGTACAACTGAAAAACGTTCTGAAACAGTGGTTTAAATCTATATTCTCCACAAAGAGGGATGCACAAGACCGTTCACAAGCATGTGGGGAAAAAAATATCAGAACCTATTAATATATTTTTCATTTCACCCTTTCAAAATCCCTACTATATTTAAGTGTATTTTCTAACAAACACATCACTATGAGAGCACTGCACATATATGATGCATCAATACACACGCAGGGCGCATGCTAGGCACACAGTTGAGGTTCTGTTTTAATGAAGAGGACACGGAAGGTCCCTCGCCCTCTACTGGACCCTCCCACACCCTTCCAACTTCACTCCCCACCTCACACCACCACCACAGCCCGCATTCCCTTCCTTGGCTTTGCTGTGTCACCCACCAACACTGTCTTCCACCCCAGCTCAAGAAAGCCAACTCCTTCCCAGGCAGCAATCTTCCTCCTGTGCCTCCCCAGGCACCTAAATCTGCCTCTCCTAGTGGAGTTCACTGTTTTGGAGCCTGCATTCCCTCCTACTGCAGGCAAGGACAGAAGGGAAAGGACCCTTCACTGGATTTTACCCACATTACTGGGCCTCAGACTCTTCATCTGTAAAATGATAATTTTTAGAACTTCCCAAAACTGTGAAGTCCAAAGAAAATAAAAGCATAAAAGGCCAGAAAACTGCAATGCACCACACACCTGTGACTATCCCCTCAGGGCCTTAGGGTGTTGCATCTGGCCAGATTCATCTGTGCCACCTAAATATCTGATAATTGAATGTCTAACTGATGAGAGACATAAGAAAACAGACACCTGACTCATAAATCAATTCTCTAGGAAGATGCTTTATCACCTTCATTAACCTGAAGCACCTCTAAGAGGGACCTGTTGCCTCCACCGCGGGAAAGGAAGGCTGTAATTCTTAGTGCTACCTTTGTCGAAATCCCCACAGCAATGCAGGGTTGAAGTGTCAAATCGAAATCACCTGAAAAGAACTGGAACACAAACACCAGAGTGCTCCGTTCCCGCCCCTCACTCTTGGCCCACGGAATTTAAATCCTGCTCAACTGAGCAGCCGAAGGCAGGGCGACGCCGCACCCACTCTGGGCGACTGAATTTGGACCTGGGGCCCCGGGAGCCCCCCGAAGCCCGCCCGCAGGCCCGTGGTGCGCGGTTACCGGGAAAGTCACACTTGTAGGGCCGCTCGGGCTCGAAGTGGGTGCGCTGGTGGGAGCTGAGTTTGGCGTGCGTGGGAAAGCGTTCGGAGCACACCTCGCACTTGAACAAGTTCTCCTGCTCGTGGCCCTTCATGTGCGCCTTGAGGTTGTACACGGTGGTAAACTTCTTCCCGCAGCCGCCCACCGGGCAGCCGAAGGGCCGCAGCTTGTCGTGCGACTGCAGGTGCCGCTTGAGCTTGTAGGAGGTAGTGAAGGCCCAGCCGCAGCCGTCCAGGGGGCACTTGAAGGGCCGCCGGCCCTGGCTGCTACCGTGCGTCAGCAGGTGCACCTTGAGCTGGTGCTTCTTGGCGAAGGAGAGCGCGCACTGCGGCTCGGGACAGCGGTAGCCCGGGGCACCAGAGCCGGGGCCCTGGGGGCCGCGGCGGCCCCCGGCCGGGCTCGCGGCCTCCTCGCCCGGCGGCGCGGGCGGGCCCCGGGGAGGCTGGCCGGGCTGCGGCGGCGCGGCGGCCAGCGTGAAGACGCCGTGATCGAAGCGCACCAGCAGGTCCTGGCTGTTGATGGTGACGGTGCCCGCCAGGGCCGCGCCGGACCCGGGGGCGGCGGCTGCGCCGCTGGGGCCCTGCTGGGGGCAAGGGACTGGGCTCGCGCCAGCGCCGGGCCCGACCTCCCGCCGCCCGGGGACCTCGGCCGCGGCGCCGCGCGCCACTTCCAGCAGTACCACGAAAGAGTCGCCACCGTCTTCGGGGGGCGGGGGGCTCGGCCCCGGGGCCGCCGACGCCGCCCGGGCCTCCCCGCGCAGCGGCCCCGGCCCGCCATCTTCGGGGCCCCGCAGCAGTAACAGGCGGCGGCGCGCGGGGCCCGGGCTAGGCGGTGGCCCCGGGCCTCGACGGAGTCGGCCGGGGCCGCCGCCGCCATGTTGGGCTCCGCGCGCGGTCGGGGCTGCGAGCAGCTTCGGAAGGTCCATCTTGGGCCCAGCCGCGGCGTCCCAGCCGCCGCCTCAGAGGAAGCGCGGTCCGCCCCGCCCAGCCGTGCGCGACGCCGTGCGGCCGCCGCGACGGGTCGACGCCAAAGCCCGGCGCGGAGCAAGACCGGACTCCGGCCCGGAGCTGCGCGTGCGCGTGAGCCGAGGGGCGCCGCGCGAGGCTTGCCGGGCTGGGGATGGTCGGCGCCGCCCAGGCGCGGCCCCGCGGGCCCTGCCTGCCGCCGAGCCTGGGGACTTCGGCCGACCCCGACCTCGCCAGCTGCGGCCTGACTCCCTGCATGGGGAACGACGCTCGCCTGACTTAACAATCGTATCTTTCATCTGGGTAGTGGATTAGTAATAGCAGCCAGCTATCTTCACACTCACAAATGTGAGGAAACTGAGGCACAGATAGCTTGAGTCCCTTGCCCGAGGTCACATAGCTGGGAACTGGGAGAGTCAGGGTTCGGGCACCAGGCTGGACTCACTGAACTGCGAACAGCCCAGCTGCCGCTGGCCTTTGGCTCATAGACCTTGCGCGAAGTGCCCCCAGATACTTCCCCGCCACCCAGCCCCTCCACCGGGGCCCCTGCCTACGCTCTTCCAATTGCATTTCCTACTAAACTTTGTACTGTCCCACACCGCCTCAGCCTTTACGCATTGTTGCCTGAACTCCTCCACCCCACCCCCTCAACCCGGATTCAGTCTGGAGTCCCTACACTTGGCTCCACGTCCCTGCCCTACGGACCCAAACTCCTCCTTCACGCCTAGTTTCTTAGGAAAATAACACCGCAGCTGATCCGTAGCCTCCACCACGCCCAACCCCGAATCTAGTCTCAATAGAGCCGACTTTTGTGATCTTCCCAAAGTGCAAATCAGCTGTGCCCCAGTCACTCCATTGCTCTTATTTCCTAGCTGGTCTCCCCCGCATTTCTCACCACTTCACCCCTTACTCTACAATCCCAGGGCTCCCCTATCTCTTTCCATTTCCTCCAGCAAGCCGAACTAGTTCTGCTAGACTGCACAGCTGGTCTCTGATTCCTCTAGGAAGACTGGCCTTCTGATCAGGTACACCCTCACCCAGCCCCTTATTCTCCACCCCACCCTCCGATTTGTTACCTCGTATAGTTCTCAATTGCTGTTGTTTTATTGGCCCCTTTCCTGGATAATTCATTGTCTGTGTACCCCTCTAGAATGTACACTCATTTAGGACAGGAACTGTGTCGGTCTCATTCACAGCTGTATGCTCAGAAGCTAGTAGTGGAGACTCTCAGTAAATATTTATTGATGAATGCCTTATTATTAACAGTTCTTTAAAAATAAGATACATAATATTGAAAAGAATAGGAAACATATATATATGAAATATGAATTTATGCCCCAAATATATTGGTCCCAGGAAAGAATAATCTTTTCAACAAATGGTCTGGGACAACTGGATATCCACACATGAAAGAATGAATTTGGACCCCTACTTCCCACCAGACACAAAAAGTAACTCAAAATGGATCAAGGACCTAAATGTAAGAAGGAAAACTCTTAAACTATTAGGAGAAAACAGTATATCTGTGTGACCTAGGATTAGGGGATGGTTTCCTAGATATGAAACTAAAAGCACAAGCAGTGAAACAAATTGGGCTTTGCCAAAACTGAAAACTCTCTTAGGTCAAAGAACACCAAAAAGAAAATGAAAAGACAACCCACAGAATGGGAGAATATTTGCAAATCCTATATCTGCTAAGCAACTACTACCTAGAATATATTTTTAAAAACCCATGACTCAACAGCAAAAACACAAGCCAATTTAAAAACAAAGGACTTGAATAAACACCTCCCCAGAGATGTACAGATGGCCAATAAGCACATGAGGAGATGTTCAACATCATTACTCATTAGGGAAATGCAAATCAAAACCACAAGGAGATAACATTCCTTATCCACTAATATTAGCAATAATTTTTTAAAATGAAAAAGGAGTGTGAGGATGAAGGAAAAACTGTAACCCTCATTTATGCTGGGAATGTAAAACGGTGAGGCCAGTGTGCAAGAAAGTTTGGCAGTTCCTCAAAAAGTTAAATATAGAATTTCCATATGACCCAGCAATTCCACTCTTAGGCATATACCCAAGAGAAATGAAAACACATTCACACAAAAACTTGTTTGTGAATGGTCATCATAGCAAAATCAATGCAGAACATTGTTTAGAAGGATCCCACTTGTATAAGGAGGGAAAACTATACCTATGTTCACATGCTTGCACATCCTTTTTATTATGTAGCATTATTCATTATTCATAATGCTACATAATAAAAAGTGGAAACAACCAAGTATCTATCAATAGACAAATGGGTAGACAAAATGCAGCATATCCACACAGTGGAATATTATTGGGCCATAAAATGGAGTGAAGTACTGATAAAGGGTACAACATGAGTGAAACTTGAAAACATGCAAGGGGGAAAAAGCCAGACACAAGACACCACATACTATAGGATTCCACTCATATGTCCAAAAAAGGTAAATCCATAGAGCCAGAGAATAGATTAGTGGTTGCCAGGGGATAGGAGAGGAGGGCAAATTGGAAATAACTGCTAAGAGCTACAGTGTTTCTTTTGGGAGTGATGGAAATGCCCTGGAATTAGACAGTGGTGATGGGTACACAACACAGTTGAATATACTAAAAACCACTGACTTGTACACTTTAAAATAGTGACTTTCATGTTCTGATTGGCTCTGCTAAAAATATATTATTGGGAAAAATCAATGCAGAACATTGTTTAGAAGGATCCCATTTGTATAAGGAGGGAAAATTATACCTATATTCACATGCTTGCACATCCTTAGAAAGTTTCTAGAAAGATACACAAGATACTGCTAGTACTTGTGACTGCTTCTAAAGTGAGGTGGGGAAGGGCATCTTCACTAAATACTTCTCTCCTGTTGGCACTATTTGCTTTTGTTTTAGATCATTAGTGGGATTATTTTTTGTTGTCGTTTTAATTCCAGTGTAATTAACATACAGTGTTATATTAGTTTCCAGTGCACAACATAGTGAGTGATTCAACAATTCTATACATTACTCAGTGCTCATCACAGTATGTGTACTCTTAATCCCCTTCACTATTTCACCTATTCTCCCCCTCCCAGCTCCCCTCTGGTAACCAACAATTTGTTCTCTGTATTTAAGAGTCTAGTTTCTTGTTCATCTTTTTTTCTTTGTCCATTTGTTTCTTAAATTCCACATATGAGTGAAATCAGATGGTATTTATCTTTCTCTGACTTATTTCACTTAGCATTATACTCTCTAGTTCCATCCAGATCATTGCAAATGGCAAGATTTCATTCTTTTTTACAGCTGAGTAATATTTCATTGTATACATACACCACATCTTCTTTATCCATTCATCTGTCGATGGACACTTGGACTGTTTCCTTATCTTGGCCATTGTAAATAATACTGCTATAAACATAGGGGTGTGTGTATTCCTTTGGATTAGTGTTGTCATGTTCTTTGGGTAAATACCTAGTAGTGCAATTGCTGGGTTATAGGGTAGCGCTATTTTTAACTTTTTGAGGAACCTCCATACTGTTTTCCAGAGTGGCTGCCCCAGCTTGCATTCCAGCAATAGTGCAGAAGGGGTCCCCTTTCTCCGCATCTCTGCCAACGACCTGTTGTTTCCTGTGTTGTTGATTATAGCCATTCTGACAAGTGTGATGTGATATCTCATTATAGTTTTGATTTGCATTTCCCTGACAATGAGTAGTGGTGAGTATTTATTTATGTCTCTGTTAGCCATTTGTACGTCTTCTTTGAAGAAATGTCTGTTCATGTCTTCTGCCCAACTTCTATTGGATTATTTGTTTTTTGGGTGTTGAGTTGTATAAGTTCTTTATATATTGTGTCTATGAACCCTTTATCAGATATGTCATTTGCAAATATCTTCTCCCATTCAATAGGTTGCCTTTTAGTTTTTTTGATTGTTTCCTTGGCTGTGTAGAAGTTTTTTATTTTGATGTAGTCCCAATAGATTAATTTTGCTTTTGTTCCCCTTGCCTCAGGAGACATATCTAGAAAAATGTTGCTATAGTCAATGTCAGAGAAATTATTGTCTGTGCTCTCTTTGAGGATTTTTATGGTTTCAGTCTCACATTTAGATCTTTAATCCATTTGAATTTATTTTTGTGTGTGGTGTAAGAAAGTGGTCCAGTTTCATTCTTTTGCATGTAGCTGTCCAGTTTTCCCAACACCATTTGTTGAAGAGACTGTCTTTTTCCCATTGGATATTCCTGCCTCCTTTGTCAAAGTTAATTGACCATATAATCATAGGTTTATTTCTGGGCTCTCTATTCTGTTCCATTCATTGATCTATGTGTCTATTTTTGTGCTAGTACCATACTGTTTTGATGACTACAGCTTTGTAGTCTATCTTGAAATTTAGGATTGTGGTACCTCCAGTTTTGTTCTTCTTTTTCAACATTGCTTTGGCTATTTGAGGTTTTTTTGTGGTTCCATACAAATTATGTTTGTCCTCCCAATCCCTGAGCATGGAATGTTTTTCCATTTCTCTGTGTCATCTTCAATTTCTTTCATCAATGTTTATAGTTTTCAGAGTACAGGTCTTTCACCTCCTTGGTTAAGTTTATTCCCAGGTATTTTGTTATTGTTGGTGCAATTATAAATGGGATTGTTGGCTTAATTTGTCTTTCAGCTAGTTCATTATTAGTGTACAGCAATGCAATGAATTTCTACATATTGAGTTTGTATCCTGTGATTTCACTGAATTCATTTATCAGTTCTAATAGTTTTTCTAGAAGTTTTTTGGGGTTTTCTATACATAATATCCTTTCATCTGCAAACAGTGACAGTTTTACTTCTTCCTTACCAATTTGGATACCTTTTATTTCTTTTTATTGTCTGATTGCTATGGCCAGAATTCCCAGTACTATGTTGAATACAAGTGGTGAGAGTGGACATCCTGGTCTTGTTCCTGACCTTAGGGGAAAAGCTCTTTGTTTTTCCCCATTGAGTATGATGTTTTTCATATAAGGCCTTTATTATGTTGAGGTATGTTCCCTCTAGAGAGAAGGTTAAAGGTTTTTATCATGGATGGACATTGTACTTTGTCAAGTACTTTTTCTGCATCTATTGAAATGATCACATGGTTTTTATCCTTTCTCTTATTCATGTGATGTATCATATTGATTGCTTTGCAAATACTGAATTACCCTTGCATCTCAAGAATAAATCCTACTTGATTGTGGTGAATGATAGTTTTAGGGTATTGTTGGATTCAATTTGCTAATATTTTCTTGAGGATTTTTCTATTTTCATCAGAGATATTGGTAACTACAGAGTTCTCAAGATCATGAGTGTTTTTAAAGTAATTTTTATAATTAAATAATTTTTTCCACTATGGAAAATAGTATGGTGGTTCTTCAAAAACTGAACATAGAATTACCATATGACCCAACAATTCCACTTCTGGGTAGATACTGAAAAGAATTGAAAGCAGGGACTCAGTCAGATATTCACAAAGCCATATACCCAGCAGCATTATTCACAGTAGCCAGAAGGTGGAAGCAATCCAGGTGCCCATAGATGGATAAATAGCTAAACAAAATGTGGTTTATGTATGCAACAGGACATCATTCAGTCCTCAAAAGGAAGGAAATTTTGACGCATGTGACAACATGGATGAAACTTGAGGACATTGTGCTACATGAAATAAGCCAGTCACAAAAATTCTATTTACATGAGGTCCCTAGAGTTGTCAAATTCATAGAGACAGAAAGTAGGATGGTGGTCACAGGGGCTGGGGTGGAGGGAGGGTGAGTCAGGGCTTAACGGATATGGAGTTTCAATCTGGGAAGATGAAAAAGTTCTGGAGACGGATGGTGGGAATGGGTGCACAATGGTGTGAGTGTACTTCATGCTGCTGGACTGCACTCTTAGAAATGGTTAAAGTGGTAAATATTATGTTATGCATATTTTACCACAATAAAAGAAAAATTTTAAATTTTTAATGAAAAACATTTGGTGGGAATATGGGTGAGTTTCATCTTTTGGA